AGCAGACCTTGTGCTGTTGAAGCTAGAGAGGTGAGCAGTCTAAGTCTGATTCCCTGTAAAGACTTCTCTGTTGACACCCACCCCTTGGCGCTCATTTGACCGTATGCAGTTGCGAGCACCGTAAAACCCTCTACTATAAAAAAAAATAATAATTTTAAAAAAACGTCATTTAAGCACAGAAAATTAGATGTGAGGTGTTAGTATAGAGTAACTTACAAAGAAAAGAAGCAAGAGAGATGAGTACGATAGGAAAAAAGAAGCAAACCACATCAGACCACTCGCCTGTCACCCACTAATCACCTCTGTGAACTACATTCAACTTCAGACGATACAAAAATTAACGAGAATCTCTCTACCTTGTCTCCCATGGACACTCCGCCGGTAGTCACGATAATATCAACTTTGTTTAGGGCATCAGTCAGCTTTTCTAGCAAAGCGTCGGGCCTGCATTCAAGACAGAAAGGATAAAAGAAATTATTTTTAAAAAATTAAATTGTAGGTGTTTTTATGCCCCTTTCAAAACAATTTAGACCAGTGGTAGGCAGGGTTCGCCACTGCGTATCAGATCAGGGATAACCTGGGCTCAGATAACGTTCCTGCAGAATGATAGAGACTCTCAATAAAAAAAATTCTACACACGGGAATAGAACGCAGATCTTCTGTGTTCAACGGTGAATCCCTTAACTGCTACACCACAGATGCTATAGTCAGATATTCAGGAAAAATCTAAAAATAGAAAACATGAATCAAAATTGACTTCAAAGAAGATGGAATCTTAGTAGTTACTTAGATTATGCACTAAAAAAACAAGACCAAAAATATAGAAAAGACTTCTATAATATCAAAGACTTACTCAGAATTCCAGGATGCTAAAGCCTGGATGCTCACTTTACACCCCGGCCGCATATAGTTATTCACCTGCCCCCCCCCCCCCTTCAACCCCAAAGAAAAAAACTCCCTCGTGCCCATCTATATTTAAGTGTAACAACCTCTCAGGGTGAACAAATAGAAACAGGATTGCCTTAGTTGGTGTACATTAATAGCAGCTTCCTCAAAACAACTACTGCTGGATAATTATACACAATTAGCGTACAGGGGGGGGGGGCAGTTTGGAATGCATATTTTCATCACAGTGAAGTTAAAATTGTCACTAGGAACCAGCTTCTTCGAGAAAAGGTCATCAGTGTGCACACAAGTAAATAAGTGTTGACTCTCGGTGGTTTCGGATGACTTGGGAAGGTTTTGAGCAAATTGGATGGCTTGCTAGCATAATTAAGATGTTGTTCCGCTGTCAACATTAGCAAGCCTTTTTCCGCCAAACTTAATTAGCGTTTCCCTTCACTTTCTTGGGGGAATCCAGAACTTTAACATTCTGCAGGTCATGCACTATTTAAGATAACGACGCTGCGTTGTCAGAGTCGATACTCCCAATAAGGTATAATGGCGTACCACCGGGTACAAGTAATGGTAACTTCCACTGGCACAACTTTAAAAAAACAGTAAAATCAATCCTCCCCCTTCTCCACTCCCTCCTCCTCCTCCTCTAATCAGAATACACACACAAAGACACACGCACAAACAATCAACCACAACACAGCACACACAAACACACACAAACACACACAAACACACACAAAAACACAAACAAATTACACACACACACACACACAGAATCATGCATACACAAACAAACAAACACATACACACACGCACAATCACCCACAAAGCAGTAAGTACACATACAAACACAAACAAACAAAACATACAAAATCACTACACACGCACGCACACACACACACACACACACACACAATAC